TCGAATTCGGAGAATACTGTCCGAACTTTCAAAGCTCTAATACAGGTTGACTGGTATTCATAAAAAATACTGTGGAACAACGGTGGATCTATTTACGTGCACAAATGATAATACCATTTTTGTTACTGTTTTTGGCATATGCTTATCCACGCGTAGCTTGCCAGGCTCTACCACGTGGGGGGGGGGGGCAAACTCTTAGCCGTTTGGACATGCAGATGTGCCGTTAAACTTATATTCATAAAAAAATAACTGAAAACTGAAATTGTAACTGTAAATATAACTGAAAGGATAATGAAAGCTCCGAACAAATTCCATCGAACAGTGGAAAAAGGTGGCGGACCATACAAACCGACATCTGATGGTAAAGACGAAAGCATGTGGCAGGACAGAGGTTGCCACTCTTCTTGTGAGCACATATTTACCCGAGCGAGTCCCTGTCCTTAGTCCAGAACGCAGTGATTTAAACGTAATATACTGGAGCTTGCTGTGTGCAACTTAATGCGCAAAGAACGAATTCAACCGCGACATGGGGCGGACGGATATAGGGGGCTCAAGCAACTTAGAGGAACCTTGCATTGGAGTGCACGATGTAATAGGTCGATGCATAACTATTGCGGATTTTTTCGCGGCTTTTTTTCTCGATACATTTTGAATATTGAGTTCGTGATAGGAATAATCTTTCTACTTTCCTTAGCGGAATTATGTCTAGAAAGTCATCTTCGAATTCGCCACAATGTGCTCTATTACATCGAGAAAGGTTTTACGGTGGTGCAGTCACAAAGTGATCCCAACGAACTTCTTGGCGATGGAACAGACAGCCAAAGCCGATTAGGGAGTGAAATCTGCTTCTATTCACCCTATTCACCAACAGAAACCCCTGTGGATTAACACGTCAATCGTTCATCGAAAAACGGCTAGCAAACAAATGGCTAGCGAACAGAACTTTTAGCGAAATGGAAGACTTGATGGCCGACCTCAAGGCGTGGATCACCTCCAAGAATCGGAAATTCTTTGCCTGTGGAATTCGACTGCCTAACATGTGGGAAGCAGTGCTTGATAGTGGATATGTCCCGAAGTATTTATTTGAACATGTCTCTGCTAACTATTTCTGTTTCAAGCGACACTTGCTGAAAAATCCGCAATAATTATGCATCAACCTAGTAATACTAAAAAATACGAAAACCCGATTTTTCTTACGTAAATAAGAGTGGTGAAGTGGATAAGCCTACGCCACGCACGTTTCACCCATCCACCGCGTTGAGGTGGGAGACCGTTGAGGAGATTTCCATAAAGCTGAGGAGCCCCCGTGTTGGCGGCATTGGGTAGGATAGCTCGCCAGAGGCTGCTAAAATCTCAGGGCCACGACAAGCGGCCTAAAAGGACAAGGACTAAAATGGCGATCAGTACTTTCAATGCACGAACGCTTGCATCGGAAGCGTGCATCGAAGATCTGATGATGCAAGAAATGAACATCAAGTACGACATTACGGGCAGACTGGAATGAGAAGGCACCGCCCGTTGCACGTCACTTTTGAGCTGGAGAATCCAGTCAGAGATCAAAGGAGTTTGAGAGGATGCGAATGGGACATTAGTTAGAGAGGAGAGAAGCACATAATACAGCTACTCCGGCGGTCGGCGACAGATTAGTTCGTCCCACTCGTCCTTTTGCCATAATTTTTGCTGAGGTGTTCCGTGTATGCAAAGAAGACCATGCCTTGACGACACAAATTGGGAGATTGTCCAAAACTTTGGGGTCGTACTTCAGGTCAACTCACGTTCGAAAGACAACAACCATTCTAGGTAAGGAACTAACATTTCTTCGAGATAAGTCCATGGTAAATTGCCTTACCTGGAGATTGCGGCTGCGTGAAGAGGTACACCTCCCGGCATTATTTTCAAAATCTCTTTCAACTACTAAAACTTGTTCAAACTCTGCCCAAGAGGATATGAAAGTTATCGAAAATTCATCTTTCAATTGGACTGACTGATATTCATAGCTTTTGGTCCCTGAGACCAAATTGTTCATCGGAACATGCAACAGAGACGTCCGCGGCGTAGGTCTCCTCGTCAATACGCACTTGGCCATGAACATCGATTGGCACGAAGGCTTAACACCCTGATTCGGACGTTTGCAATTAAGAAGATGTAGCTCAACCCCAGCTCTGACTATCTTTGTTGCCTACGTTCCACCATCGAGCTACGTAGATGGGGAGTTGGAAGCATTTTATAGGTATAGGTATAGGTTTATTATGTGTGCAAAAGGCACAAGTGCGAAAGTATATCTTTAAAACACCGAAAACTAGAACACGATTTCCATAAAATCAAGCCAAATGTCAAAATCTTACAGTAATAAATGAAGAATTTTACAGTCGGTCTCATAAAAACGCTCTTACTCTGTGTCATATCTTTACAGCATTTTAGCAATCCGGTGTCTTAATAGAGCCAGAGATATGTTCAACGGTACCTTTTTTGAAAGCATTAAATAATGACTCCCAGCTCGAAACGAGAAACTTTTGTCTCGCAAAGTTGTCTTGAGTTGGCTGAGAAAAATCTTGCCGGATACTGCTCTTGTTCTCCAGGGCATTAATTTGAAAACGTTGCATAAACTAGAACCAGATAGACCGTGTATCATCTTGTGAACTGAACAAAGGTCAAATATATTACGTCTGGATTTGAGAGTTGATATTCCCAGATACCTGTTCCTAATTGCCCAGCTTTTGTTATTTTGTCATAGAGGAAATCGTTGAGTCGAATTAGCAGTTTACGAGTGAAATTATTCTGAACCTTCTCCAAAGCATATATATCCTTTCTTTTTGATGGATTGAAAACAGTAGAACTAGATCCTACCAAAGGACGAACGCATGATTTGTAAGCACGGAGCAATGCCTCTTTACTCCTAGTAGATAATCCATTGAAGATTTGAAATATGCGAGTATGAGCCATTTTCACCCTTCCAGCTATATAATCCGAAAAATTCACTTTGTTGTTATAATTGGAACCTAGGTCTCTAACCGATTCAACAGCAGTAAGAGGGACCCCATCAACAGTATACAAGTGATCTAATGACCTCCCAAACACTAATTGCATGTAAACCGTTTTTAGCGGAGCCAATGGCAATTGCCACTGCTTGGACCATCAACCGTCAAGTCAACCGCCTCTTTTAAAACTTTCGCGTCATTCAGACTGAAAATTGGTTCAAAGATTTTCACATCATCTGCTTTTACCTTTGTCATGACTCCTACTTCACATAGCATGCTCGGAATATCAGCTGTAAAAATGTTGAAAAGGACAGGCGATAATACACATCCTTGTGGAACCCCATCTTACATTTCTCGGGCTCGAGAATGACTGATCAATTTTCACCTAGAACGTTCTGCCTCCAAGATAATTTCTGATCCATTCAATAACAACAGGGTGAAACTTAAGAGATTCCAGTTTGAGAAGCAGTTCTTTATGTTTTTTTCTCTATCGTATGCTTTGGCGAAATCAAAGTAAATCAGATTGCAACAGCCCTTCTTGTCCAGAGTTTCCGTCCAGACATCAAGACATTCTACTAAGTTAGTCTCAACTGATCGTCCCTTGAAAAAACCGTGCTGCTCATTGGAATTTATCTTCTTAACAGACAGGTGATTGACTATGTGGTCCTTCAAGACTTTCTCGAACAGCCTACAAAACAATGAAGTGATAGACAGGTCGGTAATTTATAGGATCCCACGATGCTTACTTTCTGAGTATAGGCGTAACAAAAGAGTGTTTCCATCGCACAGGGACCTCAAGGACATTGAAGACTGATTGAAGATGTAAACAAGAGCACCACAATGTGACTGGACCCATTCTTCGCACAAGAAAGGACGGTGGAAAATCAGGCATGACCGATAGATGGGTCTCGAGAGGCTCTACAGAGGAGACTACACTTTCTTCGAGGTCAACGTCGGTAATTTTAACGCCAAAATTTGCCCAAGAAAAACGGCTGAAGAGCACCACATCGCGGGACTCACGGAGTGGAATGGAATGAGCAGGATGGTCACGGAGTGGAATGGAATGAGCAGGGTGGGAGGCTGTCCGTGTTTATCATGTCGACTAACACCATCCGTGGTAACTCACAGTTCCAGAAGCCCTCTCACTTGCGGTGGACATGAGAGTCACCTGGTCTACAGTTCCATAATGAAATAGGCCACATCATCTTCAATCGGAGATTTTGCCTGACCGACGTCGCTGTTGTTCCGAAGTTCTACACAGGATCGGACCATCGTCTCCTCCGCGCTAGATTCTGCTTCTCAGTGCGTGGGGAGAGAGCTGCGAAGTTCAAGAAACGAAGCCCTAAGGCTGTGGTCAATTGGGATCACTTCGCTTCATTGGCGAGTTTGTGGGAAGATTCCGTCAACGACAACATCGATGAAGAATACGACCGGCTCGTCGAACATCTTCACGATTGCGCCAGGAGAGCCGAGAGTCTACAAGTAGCCAAAAGACGACTCTCTTCGAAGACTCTCGAGCTGATACGCCAGCGTGGAATCGCGCGAGCTACAGGCAATTATCAACAAACGTCCGAACTTGCGAAACTATGCAGAGAGGCGAAAAAGTAAGATTTGAGAGAGAAGAGCAGCAGTTATGGACGAAGCCGCTGAGGCCGGAAAGAGCATACGCAAAGCCCGACGCCAATGCCGATCATAAAACCAAGATGAGTTCCCTTTGTCGTCCTAACAGAACACTTACTGCATCACGAAAGGCAATGATAAAGGCCATCTATGACTTCTACTCGGAACTCTTCAGCAGCCACTTCTATTCGCCTACCCACCATCTTAGGCAAGACGACTATATCGCTCCTTCTGTTCTTCCTTTCGAAATTCGACATGCTATCACGTCGATGAAGAATTGTACGGCGGCCGTTCCCGAAAGGATCAAATCAGAATATCTAAAGAGTCTTCCACCAATTATCGTCAGAACTCTGGCTAGGCTCTTCATGCGGTACCTGTCGGAATGTAAAGTGCCCACGTCGTGGAAAACTAGCAAGACTGTGTTGCTGTACAAGAAATCCTAACGATATTGGCAATTATCGCCCAATCTGCCTGCTGTCCGTAATCTACTATCTTTTCACTTGTGTCATCCTGAACAGGATTGGCAGAATATCAGATGAAGGACACCTATGCAAGCAAGCAGAGTTTCGGGGAGGGTTTAGCACAATCGATCATATCCACACTCATACAAGACTCATTAAAGAATCGCGAGAGTGAAAATGTTGTTATGTCTTTCGTTCGTCGATCTAAACAAAGGCTTTGATACCGAGACAGAAACGGCAACTGAAGCCCTTTGCGACCAGGGTGTTCCTACTCAATATTTGAGGATGTTTCGTGAGCTCTACGAGACATTTTCATGACCAGAGTTTCACCGTTCTACAAGGAAGTTGCATTCAAGTGAAGAGAGGTGTCCGGCAGGGCATTACCATATCGCAAAAATTTTCAGTGCCGCTCTCAAGAACATCATGCGTCATTCGGAATGGGAAGACTTGGGAGCGAAAGTCGACGGCCGCTATCTACCTATCCTCGCTTTGTAGACGAAATCGTGCGTCTAACACCGAACATCGAGCAGGGTGGCCAGTTTGTCAAAGTTTGTGGAAAGATCGGCTTGAGACCGAACTTAACGAAGACGATGCTCATGAGAAAAGGATTGGTACCTGATGCTCCCTTCACGCTAAACTGAACAAATATCTACTAGTGCTCTAGCTGTGTGTATATAGGTCGGGAAGTCAACATGATGAACGACCTAGCTCCGGAGCTCTGCAGAAGGGACGCGTAGTGTGGGGAGCATTTAAGAATATCGAGGGAATAGTAGGAAGACAAAGAACATCTGGCTGGCTCTGCGCCCACCTTTTCGACACTGCTGTCCCTATTGCTTTGACGTACGCCACGGAGACTTGGATTCTACGAAAGCAGGATGATTATACTGTCAGCGTTGCTCAATGCGCTAAGGAAAAGACGATGCTCAAAATTTCTCAATACATGCAATTGCAGAAGGGTTTTCGGAGTTCCGAGCTCTGTCAACGAAGGAAGATCTGGGATGCATTTGATTACGCCAAGAAATCAAAGAACGGGTGTGCCGGGCACGTTATGCTGTAAGGGTCCCTCCTAGGGACTACATTGAACGGGGCGATCTGCTTCGAGTGCGAGACAATACACGAGAAGTGAATAGTTTATTAGCGAAAGCAGCAACGAAATCTCGAACAAAAATACAACAATGACGCGCAAAACAAAATCCAAAATACAATACAATCAAAAATCCCCCGAGGGTCGGGGCAGAGAGAATGCAGGGGATCCCACCAAAGATGAATCGGCCACTAAGGCCTTCCTAAAGTCACCCCTTCGCGAACCACAGAGGATCGCCTGAGGGCAGTCACCGAGGGTCTAACGCACGGAGTGAATTCCGTGGGACACTGGCGACGGCAGATGGAGGAAAATTTATTGGCGACCTCCCCCCTCTTGAGGTTCCCCCTTTCTACGGTCTTTCCTGCGTCTTTTCTTTACCCAGGCATGTTTAGTCCTGCTAGCTTCCTAACTCCTGATCACTACTGATCACCTACGGTACTCTTGATCACCCTCGACCCACCGGTATTTAATCTTACGGGCATTTCCCCTTTGGCGGGACCCCACTGCTGCGATTCTCTCTGTCCCGCCCTGACAATGCGATATGTATAATGATGACCGTTGGACCAGGGCGGTTACCGATTGGATCCCTTGGGTCATCAATCGATTTCCAAGGCGGCCGCTAACGAGATGGTCAGCCTTCTTCACGAAAGTTCTGGGCGAAACGACTGTTAAACCTCTCTCCCTGAAACGAGGACGATTTACTGGACCTCTCTGGCTCGTGACAGGGACGAATGGAGACGTTACTGATGCCCGCTCGAGGAAGACGACGATAAATGGGATGACAGGTGACACAGGTGATATAATTACCAGTCCGTTTGCCCGGTTAACGCCGGGTTGTCCTCCTCCTTGTGTGAAGTTAGTCTTTGTTTCTCTCAAATTCAGACGGTTCGGTACAGGAGAACAGGAGCCATAAGTTTACGGCCAAACACACTCATGCTTCGTGATTGCTTTGCCCGTCATGACCAGAATCCTGCTCAGCTCATGTGTTTGGTGATTGTAACTTGTAACTTGGTTGATGCCCCTCTTCATTCATCTCTAGTCGTGTCACCTGCTATCAGCATTCATCTACTGCCGCATGAGCCAATATACAACTTGGACGCCCTAATCCGAACCGACAATTCTTTGGCACGCGCCCCCTCGTGGGTGGGGTCATGTCGTACCTCTTACCAGCAGCATTCAAGTGCTGCCGCCTGCACCCCTATCAAGTCTGGACGACCTAGGCCCAACTTAACAATTTTAGTGCACGCCCCGCCCCTAAGAGAGCTTAATCCTGCTACCTATCATTGGTGTTTCCATCCTGTAGCCTGTAGTGCTACCGAATTTGAACGCCCTAGGCCCATGGAAGGCATGAATTTCTAGTTGAAGATACACCGCCACACAAATGACACATTCACCGATACACGCACACCGACACCTACACACCAACGCACACGGACACACACAGCCCTATCATCACTTATTCCCTCTTCTTCTCAAGAAAAGTGAGCAGCAACCCCGTATCGAGTAATACTAATCAAAAATGGTCGAAATCGACTGCGATTATGGATCGTTGCCTTTAAAGCTATCTTCCCTCCACATCTTTTCAATTTCCTAAGAGTTAAAACTCTGTACCGCTAAAGGGAACAAAGCGACAACTTATCGGTCAATTGCAATACAGACAGGTACAGGCAGATCGGTATATCGGCCAACATCACCACATCGTAGATCCTACCACAAGTGAATACCCCCGTCTGAAGGGAGTTAAGCTGTAAATAGAGGGCGAATAACCTGGGGAGCTTCTGAACAAAGTCGTCTGCTTCGGATTCTACGCCCTCCTGTAGTACGGTCCTGTCGTCTGTATACCTTTCCAAATTGCTCTGGTTTCTAGAAGCAATTCGTAAGCAAGCCCCACCTCCACTGGACGGTGCCCAGTCCTGTCGCCACTCATCGGATTCTATCTTACCGCTTGCATCCGTTCCGAATACGAAAGCTCTGCTCTAGAGTATCGATTTTCGTGCATTAGTGAGAGAACTCTAGTCGTCTACTGTCAGGGTTCGAATCCTGCCGCCTGTACTCCTTTCAAATTCGAACGCTTCGGGTGTACGGGGACACTTATAATGTACTTCCGTCTGAGACAATCTTATCGCACGCCGATCATTCCGTCAGTGGAGCCTAGCTCAGATTATGTGCTCCCAAGTGGCGATACTCCTTTCCCACTTGTCCCGACCTGGTTAATCGATTTCACTTTTATTTCGGGGAGGCATCGTATTAGGTGGTGGTAAGCAGATCAGTAGGCAGGCAGACCAGCAGAAATAAGGACGCTTGTGATTTATATGATGACCGCTCGATAATTTCGAGGACTTCTATAAACGTTAACCACCATTTTAAGTGTTCTAGAAAAATTAAGAACAAAGTCCTGAATTATCGACTTTGGCCCTTCCCTCTACTCATCGCGGTGCGAATCCCGCGCATATTAGAGATTTGACCACATTTCTTCCAAATCTGGGCAGTTGTTGGCTTTCAACTTAGGTCCTGACAATCACCTTGTAAACCCCTACCCTTTGAAAATTCAGAAAAATCCTTTCTATGACTTTAACCACTTTTTTCGAGTTGTAAAACTTTCCAAACGGGGTTATGAATTTTTGTATTAGCGTCACCAATCCCTGTGCAAACTCAGCTCATTTCAGAACTCTACCACATTTCTTTAATGACCTCTTACCCTCCCCTCATCCCTTTTCTCCACGTTTCTGAACAGAGTTATGAATTTTTGATATCACTGCTGCCCATTCCAGTGCAAACTCTGCTTGTTCGGTGATTCGGCTTCATTTCATCAGTGGCCCCTGACCATTACTTCGCCCACGTTCTGAAACCTGTGTGAACAGAGTAATGAATCTTCGATATTAGCTCTGTCCACCCCAGTACAAGCACAGCTCAGTCCGAGAATTTGACTACAATACTTTTATAGCCTCCAATCACTTTGTTCCCGGGTGTAGGACGTTCCTGATCAGAGTAATGAATAAAGTTTCACGCTGTTTTGCTGTACAGTTTTATTATGGTAGAAGCCATAGTTTAGGAGCTGCGAACTTTCAGGTCCTGAGACGATGGTTTGTTCGACGTTTCGAACAAACCATCGTCTCAGGACCTGAAAGTTCGCAGCTCCTAAACTATGGCTTACGCGACCAATTGCCTAAACGCGCCAGCCCAGTTGCAATAGATACCAGAGACTTTAACACCAAAAGATACCAACATAGAAACCACCCTCCGTTGTCGGCCCACTCACCATAGAGGGAGGGAGTAATCTC